TTTACCTTTTATAGTAGTGAAATATATAGGAGGGTTTTTTTTTCAAGCGTATAGAGCTAATGTAAATTAAAGAAATTCCATTTTATTATTTTCCAATTCTCTTTTTTTAATCTATTATTATTATTATATGATTTCAGTAGTAGTAAAAGTACTTTAATAATTCGAAAAAGAATTTAATCTATGTAAGCTATTTTTTAAGCAGTGCATTTCTGTCGTAATAGAATATTTTCCACGCTACAAAATAATCATTGAATCAATTTTTAATGTCTATTTATTTCAAGTGAAATGCAAAAATTGGGTACCAACATTATGAAATTTTATCTTATTTTTTAACAGATAAGAAAAGATTATTCACTACTATGTTTATAGAGTTTGATCAGATAGTGTAACACACAACTTATTACCTATTATCAATATATTGGAATTGATTATCTTAAAGAAATTATAGAATAAGTATTGACACATTATCAATAAACATGATTCAAATTACTCGATATCTTTAGATCTGAATATGCTAATTTGCGTATGTTTATCTACACATGCATAAAACTCTTGCTCTATCTGGAATGACAAAAATAGCTATACTCTAATAGGTAACTTTCATGACAAGCCGATACTAGCTGAGAAACCATTAAAAATTAGTATTGCACACTTACGACGAATACATTACTAAGCGATCTCAAACTAGATTGAAATAGCTGCCTTATACTCACTGATTTTCCAGCTGATGTATGTTGGTAATGGCAAATATCATCAACCCTTTTTAAGAAAACACTATATCTCCATCAGAAAAAAAAAATCATCTTGTCAGTGATTCTTAGATGTCTCAATAGATGGATACTTTGTTATGACTATTCCTCACAAGACAACTAAGTAGCTTCGTACTACTGGATATTTTTTATTTGCTCAGCACTGACCAATTATCATAATCCGGAAACTTAAGACTTTTTACATGCTACGGTCCCATAACTACACTAAGTCCACTACAATTTCATCAGACATCGAGACTATGTGATCACATTGATATTCTTTTATTTTGCGACAATGAAATGGAATAAAATTAGAAACCGAATGAGTAAAAGATATCTTCAAACATAATCTACTATATAAATCGCTACATCCAATAATTTCATGATGATTTATGGTGTTTTTTACTTAATGAAATATTTGTAAAATACATTTCCTAGTCCAGTGGCTGGTCTTTATTTAATCAGCGGATAAAAATTTGAACGCGAAAACATTTTATAAAATGATTCTCCTTCAAATAGCTTATTCTAAAAGCATTACAGGAATACCTCGTTTTTGTAATCAAATATCGGATTTAAAAATTATACAGTTAGTCAGTTTTACACACCCAAATTTAACTGATCAGTTTAGATCATGAAACTAACTACTTACACCACTAAAAACTAGGAAGCACTGGAAGGCCTTTTCTTCCTGGTATGGGACTCCTCAGCAGTGGACATCTAAGATCCCGCATGCGGGACTCACACTTCAGTGGCTAATTGTATTATGAAATAAATGTCCTTATGGAAACCAATCAGAAGCGTAATCTCGCACTTCTTTCTAATGATTATTTAGCCGAATAACATACAGAGCATACCACAATGAACGAAGCGTAGGTATACACGAACACAATTTGCACTTTTAAAAAATATGCTATACTGTCAATCACATCAATGTATTCAAACGACTGGAGAATTTTATTGGAAAAATGTCAAAATTCAGAGAATTTTTAAAAGCGTAATACTCAGGTCTCTTTGTAAGTAACGGACGCATTGATTCCGGTCAACTGAACAAACCAGTCAACCGTAACAAAAGGGTAAATGACGACGATAATACATGAGAAGACTGGTATGGTAGCCAACAGCTTAATCGATCGGAGTGAGAATATCATGTAGGGTTGAATTTTCACGACTATCTGTGACATTTAATCACATTTTTAAGAGTCATTATGTGACTTAGTCAATTAGCTATATTCTTTGATTATAGATAGTTAACTGTATAATATTGTAAATTATTAAGTTCAATGTTTAACTGATATTAAATATTACTCAGTTCAACCTATACAAATCTGAATGGGAGTAAATCATATAAAGTGGTGTATTCAAACATCATTTTGACTTATTTTCAGAGTCAAAGAAATTCTTATCATTAGCCTTTGTTTTCTTACCACGTGCCATCGCATTTAGGGTTTCAGTACCCGACGCAAGTCAGATATGCATTCCACAGATATAACCAGGTCACCAGAACAGACTAACTTAACGATTTCAAAATGAACGATCTGAAAGCTCACTCCTACATTGGTAATGATTTAGAAAACAACAAAAACCTTGCGATAAAATCATTCAGCTAAGAGAACGCAACACCCGAAATCTCATACCTATATTGAATTGAAGTTTGAAAGTTTAACAATAGAAATAATAATAACTATTATTATTACTATCACAGATAATAATGGTAAAATATCAAACTGTAAAAAATAGATAGATAAGTATACATTTAAAAGAAAATATCAACTAAACATACATCGGAAAGATGAACTAAGAAATATTTCGAAGAATAACCAGGACATAATCCTGTTCAGTTTTATTATTAATTAGAAAGTTTCAGATCTATACCAATTCTCATTTTGGAATAAACGAAATAAAGAAAATAAATTTTTGCTAACTACACATTGTGCGTAAGAAATAATATGTACAATTGTAAGAAAAAATAATAAAAATAGATTACAAAATATCACATAAATGAAATAATTAAAAATGGTAAATAAGAGAGATAGGGGAACTGGTTTACATAGATACATTTTGAAAACATATCCTTCTATCTAACATCAATATTTGATTATAAAACAAAACCCATGATAGTAATCCCATCAAAAAAGGTGGTATAACAAAAAAAAAACGTTTCAGTGAACGAGAGAGATGAACGACAGTTGTACAAAAGAAAATACAATATCTAAATGAATTTATTTTTAAAAAAATAAAATTTAGTGTTCAATTATTATCTAACGAAAAGAAATCCGATCTTATGTGTACAGAAACAGGTCATACAAATAAGAGAATCTATTTTGAATTAATATTCACAGCCCTATATAGACATAATGTATTAGAATGTAATATACAACAAGAATAGACGACAAAATTAACCACATATATCTTTGCTCTTCTCTCTCTCTCTCTCTCTCTCTCTATATATATATATATATATATATATATATATATATATATATATATATTCATCCTTGAAGCTTGACTAGGTGACAAATACAAATTAAAATTTTCATTAAATATACTTCACTAAGAATTGTGCTGTTGTAATCAAATGAGAATTGACATCAACGGATCGAATAAAATCTGACACTAGTAAATCATTGTAGTCTGCTCGTTCACTAACTTCTTTAATAAGGCACATATTTAAAAAATCTCGTAAATGATTAGAATATGGTAAATCACTTGAAAGACTTGGAGGATCACGATTTACAATCTAAGAAATAAAAGTCAAAATATTATGAAATTTAAATATGTATTCATGTAGAAAAAATATAATTGTCCAATATGAGGATATTTTACGATTTAGTTTACAAAATGCCCCCAAATGCCCTGGTACGGCCAAGAGTAGGGAGAGTCCGCTCTCCCTCTCGAAATGCTCTCACATGGTCACGCGTATATAGCCTCTGCTAGGGAAGTCCTACTCACTGCCTTCTCGCACCACGGGTGTTGTTTACGAAATTGAGAGGACGAAAAGCGAATGTCCAATGCTTTAACCGGGTTGTTGAATTTGGAGGACCCACTCAAGGGAATTGTAAAACTGATTCCAAACAAATGGTGCACATGGGCTCCAGTATCCTGAAGAAACAAATGGCGTATGAACCAGTCGTTGGTCACCGGCTACCATGGGACTGCATATCCTTACGATGCTCCACTGCCTTGCGGGTCAGACCTTCGGGTCGAAGGCTCCGGGTGTGGCCCCCTAAGATAACCACCTGTTTCGGTTTGGGCACCCCAGCAGTATCACAGCCCTCACACATATCAAATGAGATTTGTGTGGTGCATATGTATTTGGTGCCTCCTTGTACCAATATCTATGTGTTCAAATAAAATAAAAATAACCCATACACTCAATCGACTGTCACGTACTAAGAGATAAGGTTGTAGAAGTACAAATATCTAATAAAGTATGTTTAATTTAAACCGATATTAAAAAAAGATCATGAAAATAGAGCCTTCAAAGGAATTGCGTTGGATTAAGTTGCCATACCACATCAGGACGAGATGGAAATAACAAAAGTGATAAACAAAAAGTAGTAGTAGTGATAAAAAGAAAAACTAAATATTTTGAATATGGTTTGGAAAGAAAGAAAGAATGGAAAGGTATGTATGAAGATATACTTAAATCCTAAATCGCGAGAAACATAAACATAAAATGCATCTCCACTATTTTGAATGATTCTCAGCCATATTACCCGAAGTCGTTAACCCCTAATGGCAGTTATCAAGCTGACTCCAACTAGATAGTCTATATCTACCAGCGAACCTCAGACCAACAGTTAATGATTTCATGGACTGATGCTACTTTCTGGTTTGGTTGCCCGTAGCTTTCATCTAACGTACTTCTGAATAAACAAGCGTTACTCATCGAGGTATGCAATGGTTAAGCAAATGCAACACGTATTCTAACCACCTAAATCGATGAATTCACAACCTCACCAACCGATTTGTTACCCTGTACCATGAACTGAACCACGATCCCTAGAGATCTCTGGGCTTTACCCATCAGGGTCCCTTGCTCTTCCTGATCTTAAATTACCTTTAACCTTTTTAACCTCACTAGAATTTAGGAAACCTGTATTGACTTGCCAATGAGGCTGATTGGAGTTACAGAGTAACTGAAAGGTGGTCGGAGATCAGTTGAACTGTTCTCCACTGCTAACTAATCCACTAGATTGAAAAAGCTTCATCCTTTTCCGAGATAGTCCCAGTAACACTTGGCTTTGTAATACTTGTTCCCTATATTAGTCTGCAGAGTTGTCTAGAGTTATTTATATTCGTTGCCTGTTTCAACTCTTTTGATTACGTTAATCTAAACCGATATTATCAAAAATCATTCATGTTAATGTATTTCGCGAAATATTACTCATATTTTCAAAGTAGTCAAGAAACAAATTAACTAGTGCATTGAAGATAATTCATATGGATAATAATTAGATTTTTTGAATTCTTTACATAAAATTGCATAATTATACAAGTTTAACAGCCCTCCAGTGCTTCCAGGTTTTCCATGGTGGTCTAGCTTCAACTGACTCATGATCTTAACCATTGAAATTACTATAATATCCACAAAACCCATCTGATATTAACAAGTACATTGTAACAACATAATACTACATTTAAACAAGTTTTTGAAGAAAAATATTCAACTTTTATCATTAGTGATTAGCATAATACTGACAGAAATATTTCGTAGAAATACTCATAAACATTCCATTAAAACAATATGCTCAAATATTTAATGTCAGTGATATATTTTTACAGAAAAGTAATACTCAAGAAAACTTTCTAAGTGTTTAAAACACATTTAGATAATTGATAATATCTATCTGTTAAAATATTTTATAAAACAACATATTTAGATAGATGATCTAGTTAGTGCATCATTGTACTAAACTTAGCAATTTGCATTATACACTTGTATATAATAATTATGGTCAACCATTGTATATGATTTGTCAGTTCTCAAATGATTATTCATCCCTTTACAGTTACTGAACTCAAAATAATTTCTTGTTTTTGAAATATTTTAATTGTTTAAGTTTAATATGATGTTACGATTATGCTGAATGTACTAGTGATATTGAATCTGTCCATTTTAAACTTTCTTCACAAAATCATTAGAAAAACAAAAAAACATCAGAAAGTAATAAATGTAGTTATGTTTGTTTGACTATTGAGAACGTAAAAATTACTAGTAAATCAATCATGAGATTTAGACAACACATCAATGGTAGCAACACATGATTATGCGGTGTTGTTCATTTACTAACCTGAAGTAAAGATTTTCAAGAAAATTAAGAAGTCAATTCACGCTTATATATATAATCCTATAATGCCTCGTGATTTATAATTAATTGCAGTGATACAATAAAACAGTAGGCAGAACAAAAATATGCTGAAATGAACCATTCATAACACATTAAGTAAACAGTATCTTTCTGTGTAATACCATTTAAATAAATATAAACTTCTAGTACAATACAAGGCAGGTTTATTGCACGTTTTCTTCTTTTTTGAAAATAAGCACTAAGTAAAGACAAGTTGTATATATTACCAGGATTTTAAATGATTCATTGTATGCTTTGTTGTAAACAAGTTATGATTTGTGCAACTTCATTAATAGGATAATTAGGATTTTGTTTTTACCATTGTGGATGCGGAAAAAATAGCAATGAGAATATTTCAAAGTATTTTGAAAATGAATCGAGAATATTGTGGTTAGGACAAATATTATACATATATATGAATTACCTGATTGAATGCATCTACAGGATCTTTAGGCGGTTCATATGGGTTTGTACCAGTAGCCAATTCATAAATGCTTAGGCCTAAAGACCAAATATCAGATTTAACTCCATAATTTTTTATAGAACCACAGCTTACACGCTCTGGAGCAAGGTAACGCCATGATCCAACATCCGTTAAAATTTCACAGTTGGAAAGGGTGACGGCAGTACCAAAGTCTCCTAACTATAAAAAAAAAATAAACAAATTAGGATAAAAAAGATACGTTAGTAAACTATAAAATTACTTTGAAGAATTTTCACAACAATGGAGTCGAAATGAATGTTATAGAAGTTACGTAGAACTTATCAAGTCATGATCAATAGGAAAAAAATCAGTAGTGAACTGATTGTACAGAAGTCGTATCTTAGCATACTCGCAATGTCCTGTATATATATAGTCAGCAATTAACCACAACACTGTAATACCGTGACAAAAAGATTTTAAGTCTAGCACCATGGATGCAGGACTATTGTCAAACATAATATTACTGAATATTAAAAAGAAAATATTCTGGCATTTTACCGTGTACAATTTTAAGAGTAGATATAATTTATAATATTAAAATAGCAGTAGTAAAACAAAAATTCCAAAGACAACTATTTAAACTATTTTACTTCAGTCCTAATATAGTAATGAAATTTTTTTAAACCGTAGCGAGATCAAGTGATATTAACAAATGTAGCGCACTTAATATAAATATGTGTTATCGAATAAAATTAAGTCAGTATTATTAAGGTTACAAGTGAAGAAACTATTGCCACTCATACTTTAACCTGTATTGAAGGAGCCTAGTAATGTAAATCAGTTTGCTTACAAATGTGAAGTAGATGCCTTAGATGATACAGTTGTTCCGAATTATCATATGGTTCTCAGTTTTGAGAAGGGTGATAAGCATATTTGATCAGCACATCTAGAATAAGCCTCAGTCTTTGATTCAGTTCCAAAACCACTGTAATTAAGAAAGTTTAATAATGATAACACCGATAGCTAGATAAATTGGCTGTGTTCTTAAGTCTCTGTAATAGGATAGTATACTGTAGATGGAGGAAAGCATTCCACTTTATTGTTAACCGAAGCAAGTATATAACAAGATGTTCTTCCCTTATTTTTTAAGTGATCTACAATCTACGAAATCTCTTTTGTTGAGTATGAGGATGGTCTTACTCCATATAGGCCAGTTACCACTAAGTTGTTCCTTTTCTATAAACTGAAGTGATCGAAATACATAATATGTGGCCTACTTATTATCTCTTATCACAATATTAACTGAATAAGATGAGAACATAGAAATACTGGCAAGCATAATCATTGTTAATAATTTGTGCTAGATAGGAAATCGTTGACTTACAATACATCCCATCAAGAGAACACTATATAATCACCTTCGAAATATCTAATAATCAGATATGAGAAACTTTAAACAATTTAAGTGAATTTATCTTACCATCTTATTACTTATAATTAATACAGAATATTGTTTCACTAGCATTACAATCTCATCTTGTTTTGATAATGGTATACAAACACATAATCTAAGTCTATGTAACACGAAGTAGAAAAAAAAAAAATTACAAAATGGTCGCATGTACATCAATCAATTGATTGATTATCATCTTACTTTTATTTCTCCACTTTTGTTAGCTAACATGTTAGCCGGTTTTATATCACGATGAATCATATTCATATCGAATCGTAAATAATATAATGCTGAAACAATTGAAAATGTTATATGCTTCAAAACATTTTCAGGAATGTATTCATTGAGTGCCTTTACCTGTAAAATAATTTAAAATCAAAATGAGAATACATAGAATAACAGTGATCATATAACATTATGAATCTATTGGTGTAACAAATACTTTTATTGATTCGCTTGAAAAAGGATTTATCACTATATAACCAGAATAATTGACTAATTAGCTTTCATTTTACACTTATTGAACTATGCATAAAATTTGTCTCGTTGATAACATTTATTAATTTAAAATTTCATGAGATTTCGTATTAATATACATATATATTGCGACTAAAGATTAAGAATTCCTATCGAATGCCTCCAACAACTTAGCATAAGAACAACTTAATTATTAAGATGCAAGCTTATATGAACATTCATCTAAATTTAGACAACCAGCTTAACAGAAATTAAGAATTAAGTATCTAGACGAAATTATATCACTGACTAAAAATTTACGTCATCTCAACGTTTCACCGGGTAAACTGATCCGAGATTCTTTATGGTAATAATCAAAATTATCAAATGTAAATAAAGTGTGAGAGGAAATCTATACTAAACCGTTGTTTTGTCATGTTGGTGTATAGTACGAATAAGTTATTTGATGTAAAATATGTTGAAAGTGTATTTATATACCATTGTTATTGAAAATGTTCGGTGAAATTTAGTGAAAAATGCTCAGATCAGAGATCCGAGAGAAACTTTGGAATGATTTCAACTTAAATCCCTGAGGTTATTTCAAATACCACTTTTACGTACCATACAATTTTCTTTAAAAAATTAAGACCAGTTCTATTTATATACTTTTCCAAAAAGGTTAGTATCTCCAACTGTAGAAGCTCTTATGATGACTGAAAAAAATCATCACACAGATTTTTTAGGACATTTTTGACACATCATCTGAATACTTATAATTTCCTATAGCCAGCGACATTTTACAGTCTTCAAAACAATTGCATTAAAACACGTAGAATGAACTAGATGGGAAGGATTACAGTTTACCGCGTTCTGTAAGTAACACATTGAATAGTAGTAAAATGTTAGTTGAATATTTATTAAATATCCTTTCGATAAACTAGTTAACACTTTAAAACAAACAGTTTAGTTCACTCCCGATAAAGATTAGTATTCATATCATTAAAAAACGTTTTACCTAGTTGCTTCACACGAACTGCCAATAAGATTAGACGCTTGTTAATATAAAAGGTAACTTTGTTTATGAAATATTTAGCAGCCTCTACACACTAATCTTTTACATACTACTTAGAACAACATTACGTTTAAATTGAAGGCTTACTTTATTTAGAAGCACATCTAACGAGATATCCATAAGTTCTAATAAAATCCAAACAGAATCTACATGAGTGAAAGCACAATAAGATCGTAATAAAAATGGATGTGGATGCAATTTTCCTATTTCCAAATCTGCTATCATATCTGGATTACGTGGATCCAAATTGCAAAATGGTATTTTTTTAACTGCAAATGATTCTTTTGTTGATTTCAGACGCATTTTGAAAACTTGTCCAAAAAATCCTTCACCTGATAAAACAACAAATTGAAAAAATCCATCTATGAAACAGTTGGAAAAGAAATAATAGATTTTCAACTCATGAGTTAATGAGATAACTGGAACGCCCACCTCCCAAGGCTTTCACATGGCCAAGCGTAAACAACCACTGACAAGGAAGTCTTAGTCAACGCCTTCTTGTGACGGCGATGTTGTTTACGAAATTGAGAGGACGAGAAGCGAATGTCCAGTGCTTCAACCAGGATGGTGGATACGAAGGACGCACCTAAGGGAGTTGTAAAACCCTGATTCCAAACTAATGGTGCACACGAGCTCCGAAATCCTGAAGGAGACAAATGGTGTATGAACTTATCGTTGGTCACCGGCTACCATGGGACTGCATCTCATGACGTTGTTCCACTATCTTGTGGATTAGACCCTTAGGTCGAATGCTCAGGGCGTGGTCCCCTAAGGAAACTACCTGTTTCAGTCTGCGCACCCAGGCAGTATCACATCCCACACACAAAGCAAGTGACTTGTGTGGCGAGTATCTCTTTCGTGCTGCCTTGTACCAATATTTATGTGTTCAAATAAATAAAATAATAATAAACAACAACAGCAAAAAGAGAACGTTGATATTTCTCAAATTTTTACCAGTCAACAGTTGGTAACTAAGTCTGTCATTTGTGATAGGACCCTGAAGATTGATCACAAGGTAGTATAAATTAGATCAAGGTTAGTAATCAGTTAAAATACATCGTGTAGGCATTCCCACATATAGCTTGAGGAGATTCAATGCCAGTTTGTTATAAATTAGGCGTCTTCATGGTTTAAACTGAGAGGTGACAGTAGTTAGACTGCCACTGAAAAGCTGAAAGCACTGAATGGGCGTTTCGTGATAGTATGCGACTCCTCGGCAAAGGCCACGCACGAGCCCGCAACCGGAAATTCAGACCAAGACCCTTAGTTTTCACACGCGGACGCCTAACCTCTAGACCACTGAGCCTGCACCTAGAGGTGTACATGTTCAACTTCGACCAATTCACGATAATGCACAACCCTTATTGCCTGCAGTGAACAACTGCCTAACACTCTATGTGGTTGAACTCAAGTGGTCACAGCTCTTCACTAGAACTCCACAAGTTGCATTTTGAATGTAGTCACTTGTGATCACATGGTGATTTTTAGTATAGAGAGATTTGTGAAGATTGTAGAATGTTCCTAGCTCCAATCCAAAAATGATCTCAGCTCTAATTAATAGATGAGGTTTGTGATTATTAAAATGAATGAGTAAAAGAATAAAATAAACAAGTGAAAAGCAATGATGTGGCTGAGTGACGATTGTTCACAAGGAGGAATTGTTAAGTGAAATCCCTGAATGGTTTGACGTCAAAGAGAAGGGAACTATCAGCCAGAATAAAGGGGTTTTTATTTCTAACTTTACAACATGATTCCATTCAAAATATTGAACGCAAGAATGAATATGACTGCGAGTCACTTAGCAAATAAAAGATTTGAGGATATGGAAACATTAACCATACACTCGCCAATGGAATTATTCTCTAACCACTAGGTCTAATCCGTGACCCATCGCATTGAAAATAATGTGTTTCCCTTTTACTGACAAAAAGGGGAATATTCACCATTATGAAAATCACCTGGTCTCATCTATCTCGAAATGCGTCCGTCGTTCTGCTACAATGCAGGACAAGGCATATATATGTATCACACCAAGCTGCCACACCTCACTAGCACAACAAGATCAACAATGAATTCATAGATGTAGTCACTTCAATGGTAGTAATATACAAAAGAAAGATTATGTATAGACATAATATAGGAAGAAAGAATTAGTTCGTAGAAAGGAAGGCATAAAGTAGATTTAATCTCATGGTTTAAGGCAAGACAAAGAGTATAGACACCTACGCTAATGTGATCGATTCTGGGTCATGTCATTCAGTCTCCAATCACTGGATACGATAGTTTCCCGGACCCCAACCAAGTAGTCTGCATCTACCAATATGGCTCAGACCACAAGTTAGTGAGTCCAAGGACTGATGTCACGTTTTGGTTTGGCCGCCTCTAACTTTCTTCCAACCGTCCCCAACACTAGTCAGCATTGCGCTTCGTGATGATCGGTGTTCAGGCATACGTAACACGTGACCCAACCATCTCCGTCGATGAAGATTTACAACCTCATCAACTGATTTACCATCATTACCTAATACCCTGCGTCTAATCTCACTATTACTTACCCGGTGATCACAGCAGGTACGAGCAATATTTCTAAGGCATCTGTGCTCAAATACTAGTAGCTTACGAGTATCTTCTACTCTTAAAGGCCATGTTTCGCTGCCGTCAAGTAAAACAGAACGAACTGCTGCGCAGTATACTCGTCCTTTTATTGATAGACGGATATCCCGCCTTCGCCACAGGTGACGTAAGTTGGCAAAAGCTAAACGAGCTTTTTGAATCCGTGCAGAGATTTCGTCAAACACCAACCCGATAGAGCTGATCAGACTTTCGAGATAAGTGAAGTTGTCGGCGCGTTCGATTACTTTACTCTTTTTATGATAGACACTACAACAGAACCTCTAGGTCTACAGAGTCAAATGCTGCTTCTAAGTCAAAAAAGACCACCATTATCGGACGCCATAAGCATGTTTGTATTCTAAAATCTGACGAATAGTGAATATGTAGTCGATGCAGCCACGATCAGGTCTGAAGCCACACTGATTTTCTCGTGTTTGCAGGGAAGTCCTACTCACTACTTTCTCGTGGCGGGGGTGTTGTTTACGAAATTGACTGCATTTTCTGACGTTGCTCCACTGCCTTGTGGATCAGACCTTCAGGTCAAAGGCTCGACGTATGTCTTTCTAAGAGAACCGTCTGTCCCAGTCTTGGCACCCGAGTAGTATCCTAGCCCAGATAGATTAACTTCAGTTTTATTTATTTATTTATTTTTTGAACTCAAACATTGGATAAGGAGGCATCAAATATATATGTGTCACATAAAGAAATCGATTTGTGTGAGGGCTAAGATACTACCCGGGGGACAGACGGTTCTCTTAGAAGGCCATACGTCGAGCCTTTGACCTGAAGGTCTGATCTACAAGGCAGTGGAGCAACGTCAGGAGATGCAGTCCCATGGTAGCCGGTGACCAACGACTGGTTCATACGCCATTTGTTTCTTCAAGATACTGCAGCCTATGTGCACCATTGGTTTGGAATCAGTTTCACGATTTCCTTAAGTGGGTCCTCCAAATTCAACAACCCGGTTAAAGCACTGGACATTCGCTTTTCGTCCTTTCAATTTCGTAAACAACACCCGTGGTGCGAGAAGGCAGTGAGTAGGACTTCCCTAGAAGAGGCTATATACGCGTGACCATGTGAGAGCATTTCGAGAGGGAGAGCGGACTCTCCCTACTCTTGGCCGTACCAGGGCATTTGGAGGCGACCTGAAGAGTGGTTACTATCCAGTTGTTTTACAAGGAAACAGTGCTTTGATAGCTTCCATAATTAAGTATAGGTAAGAAAAAACGACACCACTTACAAATTCTTTACAGTGATTGTTTTATATGGGGTATACAAAACAGAACTTTATCTTCTAACAGAACTTTACTGACATCAGTTATTAATTTTACTTCTAGTTTTCGACTAGCTTACTTCATTATCTCTTAAATTTTTTCGGATCAGTATATTCAGTGAGAATACTGACCAAGCTAAAGTCGAATGTATTGCACATCACATTAAAACATAAAGGGATGCAAACTGATTTAAAGAGCTATATATAGTGAGGAGAACACAATTAACTCACCAAGAATACATGTATCTTCGAAATCATCACCTGTAACCGTTATTGAAGTATCGTTAATATCCAAGATTGCACTTGTAGATAGATTGGGGACAGGGGTTAGTTGACAACGAGGAGAAGTGACTCTATCTAACTTCAGCTTTTGCTCACTAGGAAGAGCGAGAAACCGATGTCTTACGGACTGTTCCGACATATGCAGTTATGCAATTTAAACTCTGGAACAAAAATAGTAATAACGATGTATAAACATCAACAAGGAACCAAAATATACTCAGACATAGGGTCCACTTACTAATATTTTCTGTTGAAGCTGTGAAAACTACGAGAAACAAGCTGTGATATGGTAGGACAAAAAGTAAATGGAAACTGGGAGAGTATCTTTTAAAGTGTTGGTGCTAAAACGTTAGGTGTACTATTACACAGAAATACTTTCCGAGACCATTTTGCTGAATATTTTTAAAAGTCAATCTGGCATACAATTTAGGTAAACAGATGAAAAATTATCTTGTATAAATATGCATCAATCAAAGTTACTATAAACTGGGTCGGCATAACAAAATAAAAACAAGGAAAATCAAGAAGTGAAAGCGATGGCATCAAAAGTAATGGAGAACCACAAGAAAAAGGAATGTAAAGCTTCTAGAATTACCCAACACATACGTTGAAGCCAGCGTTGGTTGAGTGTGAGTAAAATATGTACCAACCACCTAGGTTGACGAAGATTTATACCCTTATCAACTGATTCATTACTTTTACCTAGCTTATATTACATTATTGCCGACATACTAGTGCAACTAAAAAGCACTTTACTATTATTTGCATATAGACAAAGGATAAGAAAAACTGTAAACGTAAGACTCAATCTCTCTATTTTGGGGAAATTTTGTCCGTATTGTGTAAATTCTGGGGAAGCCGCAATGCGAAAGTTTGTGGAAATTTCGGGTAAATGACGCAAAACCCCGAAAATTTCCCAGGTCTGGGGAAATCCCCGAAATGCTTAGGTAAATTTTAGGACTTCTCCAATATTTCCTCAGAATCTTATGACAATTTGCGTTTTTTCCCAAACTATGGGTAAAACTACCATGTTTCTTATAACTTTGGGGACAGCATGATCATTGAAGAACTCGATATCTTTGGTCTGCTAAATAAGCTGGACATAGGCAAATTCACGAAGTCCGATGAACTGCATCTTAGGTCACTAAAGGAATTAGCTAACTTCGTTGCGAACCCTTTAAGTATATGCTTCAATCTAACCGTAAACCAGGATCGTTTATCAAAAGACTGGAAGAACGCCATAGTGAGTCCTGTCTTCAAAACAGATACGAAACATAAACCTGAGAATTACCGACCCCTTAGCCTAACTAGTGTGGTTGTTAAAATCTTAAAAAAGATTATTCAGAAGGAGCTGTTTAAGTACCTCGATGAAAACCGGATCCTTCCAGAGAAGCAGCATGGTCTTAGAATAAGTTATTCTTGTCTCACTAACTTATTAGTGGTTCGTGAAAGCTGATGCGCTTTCAAGGACCAGAAGTTATCTGTAGACGTAGCCTATATTGACTTCAGCAGAGCTTTTGACAAAGTTCTGCACAATCGTCTGCTATATAAGTTAAAAATATCGGGGTTGCACGTTATCTGTTGATATGGATAAAAGACTTTCTAGTTGGGCGCCAACAAGGAGTACGGGTGAACGCAAAGTTCTCTAGCTGGAAAACTGTGCTTAGTGGAGTGCCCCAAGGTATAGTTTTGGGGCCAGTGTTACTTCTCTTGTATGTAAATGACCTCCCTTGCCTCCTATCATCATCGGTCTTGCTATATGCTGACGATGTCAAGATATGGAGAACGATACAATGTAAGGGTGATAGCTTCATTTATTTCAACAGAGATAATGGTACAAAGAGGCACCAAATACATATGCACCACACAAATATCATTCGATATGTGTGAGGGCTGTGATACTGTCCGAGTGCCCAAACCGAAGCAGGTGGATTTCTTAGGGGGCCACACCCCGAGCTTTCGACCTAAAGGTCTGATCCACAAGGCAGTGGAGCATCGTAAGGAGATGCAGTCCCATGGTAGCCGGTGACCAACGACTGGTTCATACGCCATTTGTTCCCGCAGGATTTTGGAGCCTATGTGCACCATTGGTTTGGAATCCGGTTAAACGCCGGACATTCGCTTTTCGCCCTCTCACTTTCGTAAACAACACTCCCGCCACGAGAAGGCCATGAGTAGGACTTCCCTGGTAGAGGCTGTATACGCGTGGCCGTGCGAGGGCATTTTGAGAGGGAGAGCGGACTCTCCCCACTCTCGGCCGTACCAGGGTGATAGCTTAGAACTCCAAAATGTCCTGGAGAAAGTATCTGAGTGGTCTCAAACTTGGTAGTTGCCGATAAACACTTCCAAATGTGTTGTGATGCATACCGGTCATCAAGGTACAGATACATACACGATGAATAACACTTAGCTACCTGTTGTCCAGATGCAAAATGACTTAGGAGTCATCGTTAGCCAAGACTTGAAAACTACAGCATACTACCGTGCAATACCTGCCGAAGGTCTTAGGACTTTATGTTCATTACATAGCGCTTTTAGTCATCTCGACGCTAAAACTTTGTTGACTTTGTATACAATGTTCGTGTGTCCTAAACTTTAGTGACATATGCAAGCGGGTAGCCCCTGCTTAATAAAAGACAGTGAGCTTTTGGAAAAGGTTCAGAGAACAGTAACTAAGCTGATTCCTAGAATAGCGAAGATCCTGTATCATGCTAGACTGGCCAAGTTAAAACTAATCCCGTTGTCATAACGAAGAACTAGAGACGACTTGATTACAGTTTTCAAATTGCTTATTGGTAAACTTGCACCTGATACGCCCTCAATTTTCTTGTCTCACGAAACAAAGAATTTACGAGGGCACTCCAAAGAAGTTTACAAGCCCAGAACAAATTACTTGTCAGCTGACTATCGACTTTCCCATCGAATCATCAATGAGTGGAACTCATTACCTCAGCATGTGGTTGAGGCACCATCTGTAAAATCTTTCAGAAAAACTTAGAGCAACTGAGAGACCATCACTGACAGGACTAACAGAGGCTATCAAGCATCCCGTCCTTTCCTTTCCAAACTGAAAATGAACTGAAACCAAACTGAAACTGTCTTTACATCACATTATCCAGGATTCCTCTTTTGAAATTACAAAAGCTTGTACGTTTGGTGATAGGTTGCAAGAATTTACCAATAAGTTACTGAATAAAAAATATATGCACAAATAAATTCTTCTTACATAGGGAAGGCAATGAACACATGCGTACACCACACGATACCGCTTTATAACAATCATACCGCTTTATTTGACCTCAAGCCTGAACCTAAACACCTAATAGTTCAAACAAGACACTTTTAAACTTTGCCGTCAGAGATTTTCAGTTGTTTGCTTCCCACTATCTGCTTCTTCTATGAATTGAACTGTTCTGTTTTCGCGTAGTACAAATTTCAGTTAACCACAGTGAATTCATATAGGCGTTAAACTAACGTATTCCATACGGTAAATCACGTTTATTACATTTTTACTACTGAAATCTGCCCGTGGGATATTAAATCTCTTCAAGTATAAGGAGATTCAAACCAGGGAAAAATTACCTGTAGCACCTAAATGTGGCCCAAAATAAAATTTCCCGATATCATCTCTGAGTAGACATATGAATACATTAGAAAATGTACGAGAACTTCCGTGATGGGAAACCTGTAGAAACAAATTTATAGTGTGTAAAGCACCAAATATTTTCTAGAGAATTTCAATACTGTGTCCCTGTTTACTGTGATAAATATGCCAACTTGTCATACAGAATGTAAATAAACTAAATCCTCAGATCTATTGTAAGTACAGAGACTGACAGTCTTCAAACATCGTTCCTTCGGTGGTGTGATGAAAATGAATCACTAAAAATCCTCAAAATAACAGGTGTTGATGCACTTTTCAGAACTTTTTAGCGGTTGGAGTATCATTATCTTAGATTTCAAATGCAGGGTGGCTTGCCTGAACATCTGAGCTACCTGTTTCTGCCACCTATATATTTCAACAAGTTACTTGTTTTTAACTCGTGTGTGTTAATCGTGAAACCTATTGGGAAGTTGCATAGCTTAACAGAGAAACCGCAGTCGTTGGCGATATGCAGCGAAAAGAATGCACATTATTCTGATGTCGATTCATGAACTACAAACTTCTAGCTGGCGACCACTCTCTATTTGTCGTCAAGAGCGACCGAGAAGTAAGAAACGAAAACTTGTTAAAACACTTTGTGCTGAGAATTCTATATAGTACCAAAAATATAATATTTAATAAAGTTAGAAATAATAATAAGGGCTCATGACTGTATACTATGCAAACAGTCATAATGATTTTGTGTATTTACAGGTCACAGTCGGGAAAATTAAATGTGCAATCAATATTTCAGATACGTTTTATCTACCCAATCGTAAAAGGAAGAAAATGAGTGTTTAATTTGCTTTAAACGAAAAATCATCGATATAATGTATGTATCTTAATTCGCAATAAACTGTAGCATACCTATGATAGTCGGAAGTATTTCAGTTATCTTGCTATCTATGAATTCTCGACATAGTACAATTTAAGCCATATAGAACTACGTGAGCACAATTAAACTTATTGTATTTGGAATTCATAATAATCGGGGGTTCAAGTACAAATGAATCATTAGTTGGTACAAATACCACAATACTGTACGATATACCATGATGTACTTTGAGTTAATAGGAGTTGTATTGATCAAGAAAAGTACGTCTGGTCAAAACTTAGATGTTTAAATAGTTGAAATGGTTGTGCACGGAATAGAAGAAGCTTCCGCTCATCGGGCTTTCATGTCTAGTAGCAGTGGATCATCAATACCTCCAGGCAGAAACCTAGGTATATTAACTATAATAGACTAAAAATAAAGAAATTAGTAAATAATAATAATATGTTAACCTTAGTCCTTAAGAATAGGTTAAGTTTACTTTTAAACTACTCCTGAAGAGCGGCTTGGACTAGTTCATTCGGCAGCGTATTCCAGCATTTGACAACTCTTAAGGAGTGGAAGTAATGTCTACAGTCCTTTCTGCTATGTTTTATTTCCAATTTCTGGGTGTTATCCCTTAGGTTAATATTAAAACTAAGCTTAAGTAGTTGTTTAAGAAGATGACCAGAAGTGCTAAGGATACTGTAAGCCATCAGAAAATCACCTCTAAGACGCCTATATTCCAATGAATGAAGGTTAAGTGATTGGAGGCGCTTTTCATAAGGTTTGAATTTGAGTTCCCCAACTGATTTCATGGCTTGCCGTTGGATACGCTCCAGAGTATCCTTATCCTTTTGGAGTGAGGGAGGAAATACTATGTTTCCGTACTCTAAATGAGGACGAGTGAAGCTGATGAAGATCATGTAGAAAGTTCTCCCGTCAAACTGGTCAAACATGCGCTTCAATGTTACCAGATTTGCTCGAAATGCATTTTTGTAGCAGTTAGCATGAGACTTGAAATCGTAAGGTACCAGCACTCCTAAATCTTTTTCAACTTGTGATACTTCTAGAGAGGATTTTCCCAAGTTGTAACTGCAGCCTCCAACATGTCTCAAATGGATTACTTTACACCTTGAAATGTTGAGGGTAAGTCAATTACCATCAGCCCAGCTTTGAAGTCGATTCACAACCTCCTGAAATGCCATTTTATCCTCTGGGTTACGTATCTCTCTCCAAAGTTTCACATCATCAGCAAACGATAGCTGCTGTGAAAGAACATTTATACAAGTCGAGAAAAGAAAAGGTCCTAGTAGTGAACCCTGGCGAACCTCACTAGGACATTCCATATTCCGAGAGAAAGTGAAGTTAACACGGACCCTGAAATATCGATTTTTAGACATGGAGTGAGCCAACCAATTAATAGTGGTTTTATGCCTAATCGTTTGAACTTCTTGATAAGACATATAAAGTCGACCCTATCAAAAGCTTTTGAGAAGTCAAAATACACCGTATCAACCTCCCTCTCGCGGTCAAAAATGGTTGTCATCTGTCCACTGCAGTCAGCAGGTTGGTTATACAACAGTGGCCTTTCCTGAAACTATACTGTTGGGGTGAGAAAAAATTTAAGGACAGTAAATAGTCATATATACCATCGCATATCAGGGACCCCATGGTTTTTGGAGGTGTAGAGGGAGGAGCCACCGATCTTTAACGTGAAGGATCGCTGCATCGTCCGTCTTTGGAAATCGGTGTGGTGTGAGCCAGATTTCAAATTTCCGGCAGTTTACCTCAGCTTAGTATATCGAATGTGACATGAACTGAAACAAAATTCATACAGAATTTATGAGTGGATGGCTTACCATAAATTCACTTGATACTTTTGAGACCAGCTGAAACTTTGAGGAAGACAGTATTTTATAGTTTGCATTTCAACCCATGTATGCGAAAGAAACATTTCAAACGGTTTATGCTTACACACTTCTCATTATGATTCCCACTTCTATACTGCTACAAGTAAACTGAACACGTTTGACATTTGATTAAGGACTGCCACGTTGAATTTTAATAACTTCACTACTTTGAGATTTATCTGTTTTACTCAGCTTCTGAACTTGTTTGTTTATATATTCGAGCATTTTGGTTTCTCTTTGTATTTGGTTTGGTATTTGGACGTTTTATTCCGAGAACCTAAAAGTTGGAGGTTTGTTTTGTAATTGTTTTAATTTCTATTAGAACGATATTTAGGCCAATTGTTTGCGAATACATTTTGGTGCCTGTTATTGAGATTAGTTCTCTTGTTATTTTTGGGTTCAAAAGTTGCAAGTAGATCGACATACCGTGCTTCAATAACAGAAGGGATCGAAAGCTTGAAAGTAACGTATACTCCTAGCCATATAGCTCAGAAGATCCTGGAAAGCGGTAATAGTTCCCTTGTTATGTCATTCTCAAAAAATTAATAACTTCTGAATTGAGAACGTAAAAATGCGATCAGTGACTTATAGCAAATGGTCTTATCATATCAGTAATTCTCAGTATGGATTTCGGTTTCGCCTTCCTACAGCCTTCGCTGAATCGATAGTTTATGCGTCAGAATTTGAGTTCATTATGACTTTGCTGGTTCATGAAGATCTTTCTCATCGATTGCCAATTCAAAACCAAATGTCGTCGTCACGAGTATGTAAAAACAAATTGATTTATTCGCCCTCTTTTCATGTTATTTCGGCACAGTTTCAGATGTTTAGTAATTATTTTCATCTATTGGTTGCAATAAATATCGGTTGCAAAACCAATTATATAGATTAACCTGTAGACTAATTAATACTTTGAAAGGTTTTACAAGTACCAATACGACTTGAAATCAGATGACATTCATAAAACATGAGATCAACTAATTATATGCGTTACAAAATCGTTTCTTACACTGTCATCAGTTGTGCCACGAACACTTTCTCTTCAAGATGATTGCACTGTAACAAGCAAGCTTATGCCATTCATCTCTGTCATTTAAGTAATTCAAAAAAGGCAAACAATTTTGCGAACCAGTGAGACAATAAACATTGTCATGTAACGAGTGTCTTTACTGTGTTATATACATTCGAAGCACTCAAGACTTAACTTCAACCTATCATATGCACTTGTCTAGCCCACAACCTTGGTTTTTAAACGTTTCGTAGTGAAGTCAAACATGTAAAATGTGAGACACAAACACCGTAGATTTAATGCTATAAAATAAAAAAGTGAAGTCTTATCACTAAAGTACTCAATATCACCATTGAATAGACAGGACACAATATTTCATGAATGAAAGGTGATTTGAAAGATGAGTGTAATATAGCCACAGTCTCTAAGCAAGATGTGTTGTACTAAACTGCTAATTCAGTACTAAAGAGGGTAGAAACTGGCATTGAATGTGGAGGTTAGTTCGGACACGCGTGATCCTGTCAAGTTTGAATACAAGACAGACTGGTTGAGTAAGAAGCAGTTATAACTTAAAGTTATAGATCCTACCACACACTATTATTCAAACATTACTACCTAGCTATTCAGCCAATGCTTGTCTGACATACCAAAGTAATTAAATCTAAATTAAGTTCAATAGGCACATTGATAAGGGATATAAAATAATTACAGCTTTATAAATGAACTTTTCTATTAGTGCGAGAATACTGGTTTATTCTTACTGAATAATCCAAAAACTAACATTCAACCTTACAAAATATCAACGACAAAAGAGTTACGAATTATAAGTTTAATTACTCAATACAATAACTTTGATGCTGCTCTTGAAAATTGAAAAGATTCTGAAAAGTAGTAAGGAAAACGAAAACAGTAAAAAGACATCTACATC